GGGTCCCGGTGCCCAGGCTCACCCCCTCACCCACACCCCTGGGTCCCCGGCCAGGCTCACCTCCTCACCCACATCCCTGGGTCCCCGGCCAGGCTCACCTCCCCCAAGGCTGAGAACCCCGGGTCCCCGGCCAGGCTCACCCCCTCACCCACACCCCAGGGTCCTAGTGTCCAGGCTCACCCCCTCACCCACACCCTGGGGTCCCGGTGCCCAGGCTCACCCCCTCACCCACACCCCGGGGTCCCGGTGCCCAGGCTCACCTCCCCCGAAGCTGAGGACCCCGCTGTAGCAGTGTGTAGTGCCCGCAGGGCAGGCCTGCACGGGCTGGCCAGAGCAGGAGCCTGCAGACAGGCAGAGTGGGCAGCGCAGAGTCCCCGGTGCTGGAAACGATGGATGGAAGATGAGGACAGCGGCTAGGGCACCCACTTGGATCCCAGCGTCCCCAGCTCTGCAAGCGGCCCTCCTGCTCTCATGCAGGCGCGGGCTGAGTGCGGAGGAGCAGACCCAGACTTGGCGAGGAGAAGGGGGTGCCATGGAGGGAGCAGGCGGCTCCACCACAGTGGCACTGGGCGGTCGAGGAAACGCCCCTAGCCTCAGGTCACCCCAGAACACAGAAGGCCTGCCTGGTCAGCTCGGACAGGATGGCGCCCGCCCCGGAGGCGCTGCTGAGGACAGGGGTGTCGCGAAGGTTGTCCTCCACACTCGCCGGAGCGCACGGCCAACCACCTCCCACAAGTCAACCGAACAAAGGGAAAGACTAACAGCTCAGTGGTTTAGACCGGTGACGCTGGGCCAGGACCCCAGTGCGCCCCCTGGCACCTGTGGGGGGCTCACAGCAGCCTCTAACCACAGCCTGCAGGGCATCCAACGTCTTCTGCAGGCCGCGCGCGCGCGCGCGCGCACACACACACACACACACACACACACACACACACACAACTAAAAAGATCTGTCTAAGAATCCGCTTCATCCTGGGTGGCTGGAGCGGTCAGCTAGCGGAGTTTGGGGCTGCTGTGGCCCTCAGGGAAGCGCAGATGAGGGGTGCGGAGGAATGGAGAGGGCAGGGCCTGGGAGAGCAGGGCCTGGGAGAGCAGGGAGGGGCAGCAGGGGGCTGTGGAGAAGCCAGGGTAGAGCAGGAGTGAGCAGGCTGCAGTGTAAGCCAACTTCCTCCCAGGACCCCCTCGGCTGCCCCTCTCCCCTCCCCCCTGCACTGGCACCTGTCACAGGGGGTGGAGCCCACAGAGGGGCTGTGGAAGACAGATCATTGCAGAGGTCCTTCAGGCGGCACACTCTGGTGTAGGAGGTGACGGACAGCCCGGGGCCAGTCCTGTGCTCAGTGACCTTGGCCTCTTGGTCCTCAGCAGAAGTACAGCCCTTGGTGAGAACTAAGAGCACCTGCTCGCCTGCACAGACAGAAGCGGGCAGCAAGGGTGCAGGTCAGGCCCCTGCCCTGAGAGAAGGGAGCAGGACCCGGAGAGCGCGCGCCGGGCAGGGAGAGCAAGGGCCGGGCAGGGAGAGCGAGGGCCGGGCAGGGAGAGAGAGGGCTGGACACGGAGAGCGAGGGCCGGGCAGGGAGAGTGAGGGCCGGGCAGGGAGAGCGCACGCCGGGCAGGGAGAGTGCGGGCTGGGCGCGGAGAGCGCGCGCCGGGCAGGGAGAGTGCGGGCAGGGCAGGGAGAGAGAGGGCCGGGCAGGGAGAGCGAGGGCCGGGCAGGGAGAGCGAGGGCC